AAAAAATATTATATTTTATTTACTTTTAAATTTAATTGAAACTGAAATTAAAATTAATGAAAAGTTATAAAGATTTAAATAATTTTAGATGTGATGGTCGTGAAATAAATGAATTAAGAGATATAAGTTGTCAGGTTGATTTATTTCAACCTCTCCATGGTTCTGCTTTATTTCAAAGAGGACAAACTCAAGTTTTATGTACAGTAACTCTTGATAGTATAGAAAGTTCTCTTAAATTAGATACTATTTCAATGTTTTCTAGGTAGACTAAATACTTTATTTATTAATATTCACAAATATAAATTTGGAAATGAATATATAAATAAATCAATATTTTTTTACAATTTGCAGTGGTATAAAAGAGAAAAATTTTTTTCTACATTATGAATTTCCTCCATATGCTGTAAATGAAACAGGTAAAATTATCGGAATAGATCGTAGAGAAATTGGTCATGGAGCATTAGCAGAAAAAGGATTGCAACCAGTTATACCTCAAGATTATCCATTTGCTATAAGATTAACAAGTGAAGTATTAGAATCAAATGGTAAGTAATATAAATATGGAAATAAATCTTATTTGTATACATGTAAATTTAAATATTTTTTCTTATTTTATATAAAGGTTCATCTTCTATGGCTTCTATTTGTGGTGGTAGTTTAGCATTAATGAATGCAGGTGTGCCAATATTATCTCCTGTAGCTGGTGTAGCTATGGGATTAGTCTGCAATAGTACTGATAATATTGATTTAAAAGAAAACAATTATAAAATTTTAACTGACATATCTGTAATAATTTATTTTATTATTATTGATATATAATTAATGATATATTATATATAATTCATAATATAAAAAGATTAATTCTTGATTTCCTATATAATCAGGGTATAGAAGATCATCTTGGAGACATGGATTTCAAAATTGCAGGTACAAAGAAAGGATTTACTGCTTTCCAAGCTGATGTAAAAATACCAGGAATTCCTTTAAAAGTGATAATGAAAACTATTCAAAATGCAAATTCAGCAAAAAATCGAATTATTAATATTATGAATGCAGTAATATCTTCTCCAGCAAATGATAAAAAAATGAATAAACCTATACTTGATACTATAGAAATACCAGTGCATCAAAGAGGAAAATTTCTTGGAATTGGAGGATCAAATATAAAAAAGATATTGCATGAAACTGGAGTTAATGTAAATTCAAAGAAAAAATAGAAATTGATTAATTTAGTGAATTTATGAAAATTACTTAGCATTTATTATTTTTTTTTTTTGTAGATATATTCGCTAAATGATACAACATTTTCTATATTTGCGCCTAATCAAAATGCAATGGATGAAGCGAAATATATGATAAATAAAATTTTGGAAACAGAAACGGAACCTACATTGACATTTGGTGATATTTATACAGCAAAAATAACTGAAATTCGTGAAATTGGAGTTATGGTTACATTATATTCGACTATGGTACCAACTTTATTACCTAATTCACAATTAGATCAACGTAAAATTCATCATCCTAGTGTACTTGGATTGAATGTTGGAGATGAAATAAAAGTAAAATATTTTGGACGAGATCCAGTAAATGGACGAATTAGATTATCTCGAAAAGTATTGCAAATTCCAATTATGCAACAAAATTCCAATGTTACTGAAGGTTAGCAAAAAAAATCATTATAAATAGTTTTTATATTTTTTTAAAAAGACAAATATAATATAATACTAAATATAATATAATAATTGTATATTAAAAATAATAATATCATAAAATATAATTAATTATTTTATTAAAATTTTTATTCGTATTTTTATTAAATGATTTAAGTAATATTTTCTTACATAATATTAAATATCGTTTATATAATGAAATTATATTAAAATATTTCTAATTCAATTTGACGATTCACGTTTTTTTATTCAGAATAAAACTTTTTCAAATCCTTATTAAATTTTTTAATTTAAAATAATATACAAATTTAATAATTCAATGATTGATTATTATGAATATAACATCAACCAGATATGTAGCTCGTTTCAAGTTAGATCGTCTAATTAATATATTCAAATATATCTATTAAAAGTGATTTAAAATCAAAATATTAGAAATGATTTCACGTTTCATTTATCGCTATATTTTTAAACGGACATCTAGTTTTGTTCTTAGTATCGTTATCGCATCTGTATTTTTTGAAAGAGCTTATGATCACGCTTGTGAAAATATTTTTGAATGGATAAACAAAGGAGTATGCTATTAATCTTTTAATTATATCGTATTCGAAACTATTTTTTTTTTTGAAATGAAATTTGAAATTAAATATATACTAAAGTAATATGTTTGTTTAAAAATTGTTTACGCTAAAGTTATTTTTAAATAAATAAATTTTACAATATGATAATATAATTTGCATTATAATTTATTTATATTTTCAAATATTTGTTGTAATTTCTGTATAAATTTTAAATTACAAATTTTTAATTATCAAATATTTATTATTTTTTCTACAGAGACTTTGGACGCACATAAAACATAAATACGAAAATCCATCACAGGTGATTCATCAACATGATATTAAAAAAAATATATCTAATTTGGAAAAGACGTCCAATAAAAATGCAAAAAAGGACTGAATTTTTTTGTAAAATAAAAAATCTATTGTTAAATAAAATATAAGAAAGTTTTTTCAAAATGTTTTTTTCATTCATGATAATATGTTTGAGTTCTTAAATTTCACTTTTATCGCGATATTTAATATTTTCGTATTATGACTTTTGTATCGTCGTTATTAAAGAAATATAAGCACTTTATAATTCTTACTGTTTTTTGATAACAATTAAATTTAAAATTATTTAAAATAAATCTTATTTTTTTTTATATTCGGGAATATCGAATGATGTAGTTTCTTAATGTACTCATAAAAAATATCACAATTATTGAAATTATTTAATGGAAATGATAAAAATCTCATTAAGAGCCACCAAATATCAAATGAAGAATATTGTTCTAAGTAACTTTTTATCTAGTCAAAAAAACCCATCCTGTTGTCTATTTTTTTCATTTATCTTGATTCAAAATTCATCTTTCATTAAAATAGTGAAAAGAAGAAAAAAAAAATTAATAAAAGAATAGCTTCTTTATAAATCTAAAATGAAAAACATTTTATTCAATTTTACATTAAAAAGAGAAAAAGAATGATTTCGAAGTTTTGAAAAGATATATGTCTATGTATATGTGTATATATTTATCTATATATATCGCTTATATAGCTTATATATAAATATCTATATATAATCTATAAATAGCTTAAAATAATTATCACAATACTTTGCAATCTATTATAATTTTTATAATCTAATATAATCAATATATACATATGATAATATAATTCATTAAATAAATTCCATAAAAGAAAAAACCAATTAATTAGATTTATATAATTTATCAATTTAATGTCTATTAAACGATATTAAACGATAAATAAGTTAGAAAATGATAAGTAATGATAAATAAATTTATTATCTTAATTTATTATCTTTTTAAAAATCTTCATTTCAATTTTTTTAATTTTTTTTTCAATTTGTTTTGAAAAATCATATCAGAGATATACAATATCAATTATCTATTAGTTGATATTGTTCGCGCATTAAAAAGATAACTTTATGTATATATATATATATATAAAGTTTTGTTATTTAATTTTATTTAATTATTTAATAAGAAAAGTGCAGGAAGATAATATAAAGAAAGTGTTATGTTTTGATGTATATAAAGTGAATAAAATAAAATATATAAATTATATTTATTATTTAATATTTATACTTATATAAATGTTCTTAAACATTTTGATGCTAAAACGTATGTATTATTTAATTTTATTCGAATCAACGATTATTGAAACGACGATTATTGAATCAACGATTATGTAAACATTTTTTAATAGAAAAATATCAATTTTTATAAATTTGAAAATTATCTTTTATATTGATACATAAAAATTTCATTATTATTTTTTATATTAAACATATAAACATGTAATCAAAGTAGTTCGAAATAATAGTTTTGCTATTCATTAATAATAAATATAATTTCATTAAAATTCATTAAGTAACAAATATAATGTATAATTTGATTTTATAAGAAAGAAAAAGAGAATCTCTTCTAAAAAAGAATTTGCGATACATAATTAAATTAAAATCATCTTGAATATTTTTATATTTTTAAATTATTTTAAAACAAAATATTATGCACGAGAAAGTTTTTTTTTATAAGAGATTGATTTTAAGTGATACTTTGTGTTTTAATATATTTTTAGCAATCTACATTTTTTAACTTGATTTATTTAATATTTGAAAATATAAATAATATAGACATTAAATTGATTAATTATATTAATTAAGATATAAGATAGAGCTATATCGATTTTAATTGAAAATTATTTTATAGTAGGCATATTTAAAAAAAATTTTGTTTTATACATATTAAATATATTTATATAAAATATATAATTGATTGATAATCTTAGAATCTTAGAATTTTATGTTATTATCGATTTTTTTTATTATTAACACATGTCATACGCAAAATTTAAATATAAATTGACAATTGACAAATAATGATCTTTAGTAGCTTAAAGTTTAATAAAATAATAATAGAAATAAAATAAAATAAAAAGAGATGAATTTTTAATTTAAAAAATTTTTAATTTAAAACAGATAACAGTTTATTAAATTAAAAAATATTAAAAGTTTTGTGAAATATAGTAAAAGATGATACTACTATCTCAATAATATTAGATTTCTTTTTGTCTGTATTTTTATATGGGGATTTACTTTTAAAAAAATATCGAAATTGTTTATTTTAACATCCAGACTAAAATATTATAAAGTTAACATATGATATTACTATATAATTTTTTCTATTTTTTTATATTTTTTATATATTTTTTCATATTGTTTTATTTACATTGATTAACAAATAATTTTTTAAAAATAATAATAGAAAATTTATATTTTATTTTCAGAAATCTTGGAATCATGAAATTATTAATTACCTTCGTAATAGTCTTAACTTTTTCGTCATTAATTATATATGGAAACGTTATTCCAAATGATTACGATATATCTATGAATGCATCAGATATCTGTGCAAATAAAACTTTGATACTAAGATTTCCTTCTTTAATAACAATAGATAAATATTTTATTGCTTCTCCTGCTGTAAGATGTATTGATATAAAAGGCATTGTTATGATTAAAGAAGAAACCTTTGATAACATGCCAAATTTAAAATATCTTGATCTCCGAGAAAATAATATTTATCCAGCAAACTTTTTTTCTTTTAATCTTTCAAATGTGGAAATATTACGTTTCGGTTATCAAAAAAAAATTTCAAATTCGATAGAAGATAGAAAAATAATAATAAAAAATGTATATCCTGAACTTCGATATTTGGATTTAGAATATGCAAATATCTATACATTAAATAGTGAATTGTATAATCCATTCCCAAAATTGACACATTTATATATTTCAGGGAATATGATTCAGCAAAGTTCCCTGCATAATATTTTATCTAACACGTTAATGTATCTTAATTTAAGCAATAATGGAATTTCCGAATTCTTATTCGAAGGATTAAATAATCTATTGTCGTTAACCTTAGATAATAATAAAATCAGGAGAATGGGAAATGATATTAATTTGAATGGATTGTATATGTTGCAGAATTTATCATTGGAGAACAATCAAATCAGTTTTTTCCACAATAATACATTTCAATATGTGCCCAATCTTCGATATTTAAATCTTCGTAATACTTCTTCGATTTTTAATTTCGATATATTTCAATCTTTGAAATTTTTAGAGACTCTTATATTAGATAATAATTCATTCGAAAATGTTCCGATTTCAACACCTTTATATATAACTACGCTCTCGTTAAATTGTAATAAATTAAGATACCTAACGTATAGCTCTTTCATCAATATGCCGAATTTAAGAAAATTACACATAAGCAGGAATATGATTTCAAGTATCAATGTGGACACATTTGAAACTCAAAAGCTGTTGGAGGAGTTATATCTTGATGATAATTATTTAAGTTTTTTGCCAAGAAATTGGTGTGAATTTATGAAGGAGCTTCGATATTTAAATCTATCGGGGAATAAATTCACTTCTTTAGAAATGGTGATTTATAGTTCTACTTTGCCTATACAACAATTATATTTGGAACGCAATCCTATTCAATCTATTAATATGTCAAGTATATTGAAAATAGTACCAAAAACTATGACAATTTATTTAAAGATTGGTTCAGAAGCTAACAGATCATCATGCATATCTTCTATGTCAACCGAAACGAATACAAATTTATTATTAACTGAATATTAAACTTCTGAGTATTCAACTCCATCATGGCAGTCATCAATTAGATGGTAATCTCGATTTTTTAATTTTGTGAAGGTCACTAATTTATATCTAATTTACATTATATACATGAGATATATACTTAGATAAATATGCAAAAAAAGTATGTTAAAAAAGTCATATTAATTTAGCTTTTAAATATATATGTGCTTTGCATTTTGTATATATTTTTTGCTTAGATTAAAAAGACATGACTATTCTAGCGCAACGTGTATGTTTAATCAAATTAATGCTTTCATGGTATTCATTTGCAATCAAATGAGAGATAAATAAGTATTATAGATATTCTTAGAATATATAAATGGAATTGATTCATGGTAATGTAAATAAAGTATGTTTTGTTGCAACTTATCAATCTTCATGAAAAATTATGCATATAATTTAAGAGATAGGAACTACATTTTGAGTATAAATACCTGAGCAACTGTATAGAGTACATTTTTAATCCGTTTATAACTGGTTTTTAGTTACTAATAAGATATATTTGTTAGTAATTGATCTATTAGTTTAACATGGTATGTATCAAGCAATTATTTTTTAATTCTATTTCGACTTATCGTTTTCAAGATTTATGAAATTAATAATTAAAAAAATTAATAATTAAATATAAATAATAATATTAATTTATATTTTTATTTTTTTAATTATCAACACGTTTTGATATGTAATTCAAAATATATAACAATGTAATATATTCTGTTGTTATGTTCTGTTGTTATAACTATTTTCTATTTTTTCAGATTCAACATAAAACTGTTTTATTTATCTTGATATTGGCCATTGTAAAAAGTAAATGCAGCCCCAAAATATCTTGGGATCCAAATATTATAAAAGAAAATTTAGACAAAATAATACTTGATAAACAATCTTTTGTAACATGTTCTCAAGAGGAAATTGTAAATTTAAAAGGATTAAATTTAAATAGTATACCAACAGAATTAATTAAAAGTAAAACAATACAGGCAATTTCATTAGAAAATAATGAAATAAATATAGTTCCTAGCGATATATTTTATGAAATTCCAAATTTACAGTGTCTTGATCTAGCACGGAATAAAATTTTGCCTAATAATCTTGAAATGAAACATGATCATTTAAAAATATTAATTCTCGATTATCAAAAGAATTTAGAAAGTAATAGAAACGATGAAATCTTTTTACCAGTCAAAATAAAAGGGCGATTTCCAAATTTGAAAACGTTATCTTGGAAAAATTTCAAAAATGATATTTTAACTTCAATAATAGTATCATTTCCGAGAATAAATAATATTTATTTATCCGATTCTAATTTACGATATATAAATAATAATATAAGCACGATATTTCCGTATGCGAAAAATATCCATTTAGAAAATAATTTGATCAATCAATTTATTGGATATGATTTTAGAAATGTGGAAGAATTATATTTGGATAATAATCCTCTTTATAATCTCTCGTTCAATCCAAAATATACAAAAAATCTAAAAATTCTTTCATTATCAAATACTACAATAAATTTTCCTAAACTCAAAATTCCATCGTTAATAACATTAGATTTCTCTCAAAATAAATTTCATATTGTAGAGGAGAATATGTTTGAATATATATTGTCTTTAGAAAATTTGATTTTAAGTAAAAATGAATTTATAAAATTTCCAAATTTAATTTTTTTAAATAATCTTAAAAAATTATCATTGGCTTACAATATAATTACCAATGTAAAAGATATAAGTGTAACAAAATCTTTAAAAATGTTAAGTCTACGAGGAAATCAAATATATAACATCGATAAAAAAGCGTTTTTCGAGTTTAAAGAATTAGAATTTTTAGACTTATCAGAAAATAAATTACAATCATTACCGTTTGCTTGGGATAAAAATTTGTCAATGTTGAAATATCTCAACTTAGAGTCAAATTATTTTTTAAAAATAGAAGATATGATGTTGAATTCATTATTTACTTTACAGAAACTTTATATAAAAAATAATGATATCATGTCGACAGATTTAAATATATTAAAAATTATACCACAAAACTGTACCGTATATATTTTTTGAATATTATCACATACAATATAAATAAAATCTAAAGGATTAAATATATTTCAATTGTCACATTTGTATGTTGAATTTCTCGCTTATCATTATTGTTAAACTGTCATTATTCATTATTATTAATTGTTATTAGGTAAAAATAAAATGTTACAATTTCAATATACAATAATGTTTATAATATTCATTTTTCCTTTCTTATCGTGTAAAAAATTATGTTTCAATGTTATGTTTCAAAAAATTTTTTTTAAAGAAAATAATATTAAGAATTATATTATATCAAATATACGCGAACGATATCTTTTCATAAGTATAGAATTCGTTTCTAAGAATTAAAAATCTTATTTCGATAGATAAAGATTAAAAATTATTAGCAAATAATAACAAAATAATATTGAGAAATACAATAATTTTTTGAAAACATTCAAAATGATTTTAATCGAAAAATGTTTCATTTTTTATAAAGAATAAGTTCAAATTAACGTAACATTTGAAGGAAATCTTTTCGATTTATACTTCGAATATCTTCGAATGCGAATATTTTTCTTGATGAATGTATTATATGTCTATGCGCATTCATACACATATATTTTTTATAATTCATGGCGAAAAAACTGTTTTTTTTATTTATTTAAAAGTGTCGTCAGAAACATTCGGATTTAATTTTCGTACGTTTGAATTTTTCACTGTGTAATTTAGTTTTATCTTGAACAGAAACAGAAGTTATCATTATGCCACAGTGTTTCTAACTTTGTAACGTGAGCGAGGAAAGATAACTTTTGCAGAATGATATATATACCTCAGCAATTATTCGATATAGCGAAGTAGCGAACGAATAACCCTTATTCACCCTGTACATTTTCTTTTTCAATGAGAAAGAAAATATCTATATATTTGTGTATATAGAAGATCAAAATAAAAAATAAATACGTATCATAATACGAAAAGAAATTTTCTTGGATATGTATAAATTTAATACATGTTTTAAAATGAATCCGTTCGTTCAAATAAATGTATGCTTCTTTTTTATAATTTTGTAAACATCCCCATAGGTGTTTACAATGTTATTTAGAAACAAATATGTCTATTAGAAAGAAAAAAATTATATTGTGCGATTAATTGGAACTGCAGGGTAATTCTCGCTAGGTTACACTCCTGAGATCATTACAGTGTTAAATTTCGCAAGGATTATCACTGTATTATAAGAAGATAGATGAAGCAGTTTGCAACAGAAGGTGTTCGATACATGTTGAAGTAAAAAACTGTGTTTCACGACGGACGAAAAGATTCCTTACGATCCTTAAAGTAAGTTTAACTTTCTTACTTAACTAAAATACAGAAAAGAAGAAGAAGAAAAAAAAAGATCGATTTTATGTGATTTTATTCAATTTACATTTTCATTATATCCTTTATATCTTTTAAATTTATATTTACAGATGTTGTTCGTGCGATCATGGCTAGTGTTACTCGGCGTGATTCTTTTTCGTTTGAAATTAGTACATGGCGGACAATATCGGTTATATAGTGACAACAATTATCCGTATGGTGACAATAATCGACTCGCATTTTCTCATACCAATGCACCACCAATAATGTCGATTGCTCCGTGTAAAAAATGTGAACCCATAATACAATACGAGGAATGTAAATCAAATTCGATACTACATTTTGAGCGTATTGGTATAAAAACAGTTGGCGAGTTTTTCGTTAAGAGTAAAGAAATAAAGGAGTTGTATCTCGACGACAACGAGATCACGGAAATCTCTATTAAAGCATTCGATTCGTTGACCAAATTGAATATTCTAAGCCTGAATAACAACAACATTTCCATTAATAAAATGCTATGGTTCAATCAGCACGATAATTTGCGGGATTTGATTATAAATAACAACAAGTATAATGGAACTGACACTGTTATAAATAAAATATTCCATCCATTACCGAGATTGGAACGTTTGTCCTTAAAAAACAACAGAATTTCTAATTTGAATATCTCGTTAAAAAATTTCGCACCCTCTTTGAGATCGTTGGATCTATCGGGAAATAATATGGAATCGATCGATTTTATCATGAACTTACCGGAAACCGTCTCTTATCTGAATTTACATAATAACTCGTTCTCGAATATAAAAAAAAATTTATACAATATTGAAAATTTATTGTTAAGTAGCAATAAGATCAAGGAATTGTGCAGTATAAATTGCAAACAGCATTCCTCCTTGTCGTTAGAAGGGATGAGAAAATTGTTGAATCTGAACGTGTCCGATAACTGTATCAACACTGTTACGGAGAACGCGTTTAGATACACGACGAATCTTGTCTCGTTGGATCTATCCAGAAACGAGATAGAATCGCTTCCAGAGAACATTTTTATAGGCTTAGAATCCCTGTTAGAACTTCGAATGAGCCACAATCGATTTATTTCCGTTCCGAATATATGCGCGTTACATTCGGTGAGAAACGTGGATTTGAGCCATAATAGGATCGTGGAAATAACCAGCGACAGCTTCTGTTTCACGACGTTCATTCAATCGCTAGATTTGTCCAATAATCATATCTTGAATATCAACAATAATTTCGATAAACTGCAAACGTTGCAGAGGCTGGATCTTTCGAACAATTTTATCAATAAACTTCCGATAATGTTGATTCAAAGGACACAATTTCTTGAAATTCTTTTGCTGAAGAATAATAGTATAACGAATATCGACGAGCTATTTACCTTGCAATTGAGAACATTACGCGAACTACATCTTGAAGAAAATCCGTTTTTGTCTTTAAGATTTAACAATTCAATGATATACGTGAAAGAACATAAAGAATTGAAGAATTGTGATATAGAAATTGCTGAAATATTAAAAAAGCATGATACAAGTATCGAAGAAGATGATTCTTCGAGCAATGAAAGCAATGAAATTTACTAATCTCAATGGTAAGATTTTGCTTTAATTTATTTTTTAATTTATTTTTTTTTTTTTCATTATTTTATCTTATTTATATTAAAATATGCTTTTTCAGAATTTTTACATCTTTTTCGTTTTTCGATGAGAAACAATCCTTCTTACGATAAATTGAAAAGTCGACCAATATTTGGAAATGAATTATTTTTGGAAGAAAATGCAAACATTATATTTAGTGATATATAATAAAATATCTAGAAGAACGTTCATCGCTATTTTTAGATTTTCATGTATTGTAATTTTTTCAATATGCTTATATTCAACTTGCTTTTGTACAGCTTTGTTTTAATCTTTTCCTTTATTATTTTTTTTATTATTTTTGTCATTTTTATTAATACTAATTGATCACTAACACACGCGCATCGAAATAATACCAGTTTTGCTACTAACAATTCAAACTATCACTAATCTTAATTTTTTTTATTATGTGAAGAATAGAATGAAACAATAAAATAAAAAAAGTCATCAATATATCATCATTAATCATATATATATTTATTTTATCCATTTTGTATTTAAAATTTTTATAAAATTTTTTTATATATCATTAAAGATAAAAAAAATTCAATTCAAATTAAATGATATGTTAAATATTTTTTTTATGTATGATGCATATTATAAATTTATATTATAAATTTATATTATACATTTTTTTAAATTTAATCAATTTTTATTTTAAATATTAAGTTTTAAATTTCAATTTTTTTAATTTGGAAAATTTTTATATTAAATTAATTATAATAGTTTATTCTTATTATATTTTTAATGGACTTTGTATAGAATTTATAATAGAAATTTAAAATATATTTTATTAATTAAAATATATTTATATTATACTTTAATTTTCGCGCGGTTGAAATAAGAAATTGCGCCGTTTCAGCCAATCAGAAAGCCACTAATAAATTAATGCGCATGGCGTCAGTTAATATTAAAACACGTGGTGACAGTGCGTGTTATACCGGCAAAAGTGCATAATTATGTAGTTTTTATTGATATTGTGATATAATTGATAGTTATCAATAGCCTAATAATATAATTAGTGTTTATTTAATTATTTACTAAATAATATTTCAAAATTAAGTAGTTTATTATCCTTTTTTATCATTTTACAATGCTTATTTGACAACATTTATATCATAAAATTTCTCATTTCTTGAATCTCTGAATCAAAATTTTATTTTAATCATTACATTTAATATTTTAACATTATTTTAATATTATATATTTATTTTGTTATTTTGATTTTTATTTATATAGATTATTATTCGATTATTAATTAAATTTCGAAAGTGTAATGAAATAAAATTCAATTACATGCATGAAAATCTAGTAAGATTTTCTTTCTTTTAACAATTTAAAATATTTTTACATATTTCTTTTTAAATTTGTCTATCCAAATATTCGACGTATGTAGTGTTTATATTTCGTTCACTGTTAGCAATATTTCTTAGAATAATTCTTAGAAAATTGAAGGTTTGTGTTTATGTACGCTCAATGTCGATCGATATTTATATTCCTTTCCATATACATATAATCGAAATTGTGCCGCGATGAGTCATTACGTCGTCGAAATTCGTGCCGATTAGACGTTTCAATTCGTAGCAGGTATATAATCTATCTATTACATAGTACTTATTTCAATAATTATTCTCTCATTTTTTGCATATTACTCTTTAATTTAATATGTATATTATTTGTCTTTATTAATTTTTTATTATTATTATTATAATCGATAATTTTTCTTTATTATCTTCTATATATTTTCTATGTATTTTCTATATATTTTCTTTATTTCTTTTTATTATCTTTATTAAACATATTTGATTCTTAGAATGACCGATAAATGATCATATCACGATCATTTAAAATAAAATTTGATTTAATACAATTAGTTGTTATTTTATATTCTTATTACATTTATTTTAAATTTGGTTTTCTTTTCTTTTTTTCTTTAATAGTTGATTGCTGAAATAATTCAAAGCGGGAAAAAAGAATATGGACGTCACACAGTAACTATTCGCTATGATCAATTAGATGATATCTTCTGACAAAGAATTGGTAATATTTGCTTTTGTATAAAAAATAAATACATTTTTATTTTCTTTTTATTAGATTATTCTTAATTTATATAATAATTTATACTATATATAATATGTAATTATATTATATATAATATATAATTATTACGTTAATAATTGTGAATTTTATAAAAAGACATTAACCAAATCAAATTTTTATTTCGGATATTTTTTTTTTATCTTTAAATAAACTAAATTTATTCCTTTATTATATAATTTTCAATTATAATAATTTCAAAAAAATATTTTTTTAAAGAAATGCTTGATAGAAAAAAAGAAAAAAAAAAGTTGAAAAAATATTTCTCTTTTTTTTCTATTAATTATCAATAATATATAATAATATATTTCTATTAATATATTAATTATCATCCTTTTCTATTAACGCAGCTTTATTTTCAGAAAATTTTTGTAACTGCGTATAATGCGATCGGTAGAATCAGTGTTTGTTTCGTAATATCATTTTCAATATTCTTTAGAGCATAATAATTTTAATTAAATTTAAATTATTATAATTTTTCGTGAAAGTAGAGTCAGTGTTTGTTCGCTAATTATAATTTAAATAATAATATAATATGGTCGTATTTTTATTATTATTATTATTATATTATTATTTTTTAAATATTCGTTTTCGGTCGAATAGAGTCAATTAAGGTAATAAGATATCAGACTTATCGACTGGACGAAAATGTATGAAAGTATTTTCATTTTAGATTTCTAGATGGCGACACAATTATGAATTCGCAATCGCTAGTAAGAAAGTATTTATTTAGATAAAAATATGCACATAATGCAAGACTAAAAAGTTGATTATGCAAAGGAATTCGGATCTAATTCGTTATTTTTAATATTTTCAACATTTATATAAATAACAGATATGAATATTAGTTACTAATTTAGATTAGATATATTTCTTTTATCTTTTTTCCGTTTTATTAATTATTTTTGCAGTTCTGCAATAAATACGCATTAATGTGTAATAATGTTGTAAGATAATTTTTCGATTTTTTATATTACATTTGTTATATAAATTTTTGCAATAAATATATATGTTTACATATGTAGGCGTATTAATATCGAAACAGACGAACTTAAGAGCGATATTCAATTATTAATTTAAAACTTTTGCCAGAATTTAGAGATTAATCTCTCTCGAATGCAAAGGATACAATTAAGAATATCCACGATTAATTACATTCATTGAAGTCGTTAAAATGGCCAGATTGTGATTTTTTTTTTTTTTTTTTCTATATAAAAAAGAATTAAAATGATCCTTGAGCGAAAACAGCTTGTTACTCTTGAATTGATCGAAGAGGATTCTTCTAACGAGCTTGTCATCAAATTACTATCGATCTTCAAGATCGTTCGAGTATTTGAAATGCTCCCTTAACGGATAACGAGATCACTTGGATCGGAGATAGCTCGACGATACTGCAAAGAGTCTGATTTTTGTAACGAGAAGTTGAAGTATTCGTTCGACGAACGTACAACTACTAGATATTTTGTTCAGATCCTTTTGAAACGAAATGATTTGATCGCCTTAAATCACATTTTTATCATTTCTTTGTATCAAAGTCTTTCGATACGATTTTCCAAATTTAATTCTAAAATTTAATTCTAAAATTTAATTCTATAATCTTAGGTAAATTCGAACAAATTGCGAGAAAAAATATTTCGTTTCATATATGGAAAAAAATCTCGATCGTTAAGAAATCATTGTGAAGAAATCAATTGAAGATTATATAAAGTGATGGCCAATAAGATCCAATTGTATTTATCACTCGCAATCCCATGGATTTTCTCTCACGTTCTCATCGAATGTCTTTTGTCAGCCGTGGCGAGATACATTAGGCTACCAAAACATGTCGAGGATTTGTTAGGTGAAGGATAACGTAGACAAACGAAAAGAACGTTTTCCACTTAGGAGCCATTCGTTTGATGGGTCATCAACAACGCGCGAATCTTTCTCTTCCCTCCCTCTTCAAAATGACAAAGAAAACGAAGAAAAGAAGAAATTTGTCCAGATCTGTCTTTAGTTATATATTCTTCTCCTCGTATTCTTCCTACAGCAGAAAGAGATTTCGCATTTTTATATTCTAAATATAACTCATTTAAATTACGAAACTTAAACTTCGATGATGATAAATAACAATTAACTATTATTAAAAATTATTAAATTATTATACATTATTTTATACATATTAATACTAGAATTACCGATGCGTATTAATTTAAAATTTAAATGATTACGATTGAAACGATATCGACGAACAGTTTCATCTTCTTCGCACTGTTAAAAAACGATTGAGATCAAGAGATTATAGAAAAATACCATTTATATTTTAAATTATTGAGAATAACGTAGCAACTCTTTGAATGAAAAAAAAAAAAAAATAAATAAATAAATAAAAACTTTTTTAATAAAAACGCGCTCGACCATGGTTAAAGAGGGACAGGATGAAGCGCGGAAAGGAAGGAAGAAAAGAAAACGGATGGGAATCGGCGTGGAAAAAGGAAGTGTTACGCGACGCGACCACCGCGTTCCATCCAGTTAGATCTGGCCTAGGTTGACCAAGCCATCCAGAGAGGCGATATGTCGGAGAGTGGGAGGTGTCCCTGCTGATCAGGGGTGTCAGTTGGGGTGGAGGAAGAGGGTGGATGGGAACGCATGCGCACCTTCCTCAACCGAGTAGTACGAGTGGCAGGGATGCTTGGCCCCTGCGAGCGAGACAGAGATACGATCGAGAACGAGACCGATTCTAAACCCTTGGAAAAGGATAGCCGTGGAATAAATGGAATAGCGAGAAGAGATAGGGGAAGGAAAAAAAACAAAACGAAAGGGGAGAGAGAGATAAAAGAGAAGGAATAAGGATCCAAAGGATCCGAGATACGATGGAGACGAATCGAATGCGTCGCTTCGCGAAAGTTGGAGAGAGAAGGGTCGAGTATAGGGGGTAAAAATGAAGAAGAGACGGACGAAGAGGGAGAGAGAGAGAGAGAGAGAGAGTTAGCGGCGC